GACAAAAGATAGTCAATCTGTTACAATGTGGTTACCATTAGGTCAAATTTTTGATTTTCAAAAATATTTCAGGAAAGCGATAACAGGTTTCCTAATAAAAATAGAATTTGATAGAGAAAAAAGTAATGCAAATATGATATAGTATACGGATATTCCCAATCCTGAGTATAAAATAGAAATTGAAGATTTATCTCTCATTTTAGCTCATGTTAAGTTTAAAAACAATGCAGAAATATTATATAAACAATTAATGTTATCCGATCAAACTATGGATATTCATTGGAATCAATACGTAATTCATAAGTCTAATGTAATTGAAAATGCACATGGATCATGCATGTATCATATCCTATACATAGTACATCGAATGAAGTTTTAACATTATATGTTGTTCCCCAATATGCAGACAGAAATGAAAATTATAAGAAAAATAATATGGTATTTGATCATTTATATATGACCGAGTGTTGGGTTACGATAAATTCAAAAGTCTTACCATGTGAAAAATATAACATGGATTTTTCTAATAAAGAATGCAACAAACCGCATGAAGTTTTTCTAGGAAACAAAGGAACAGTGATGTATGATAGATTATTTATCCTATGGTAAATTATATCTTATTATCGGTTTTGGTCTATCCTATCAGGAAAATTATACAACTGTAGAAAACTTAACATTAAATTTTCATTATACTAAATTAAAACACGTAACTGCTAAAAACTATATATTTTATTTCATTGTTTAAGAAAAAAGAAAATCCAATTAAATATGAAAGAACAAAAAGTTATATTAATTGATAGTATAGAACAGTAATAGTTTTTTTCAACTCTAATAAATGATAACTATGTATCCACCTTTTGATGATAAAAGAAAAACTGGTCCACCTGGAGAAGTTTTAAATTAACTGATGATGAAAATTATGATATGGATAATAAAATTTTGAAAAATTGTAAAAATCCTATAGATGATCAGGATGCGAGTACAAAAATATATGTTTTGAGTGAATTGGCAAATTTAAGAAAAATTGCTGATTTAAATAAATATAATATTGATGACAGTTTTTTAAATTTTGTTAATGAAACAGCTGATAAAATACAATCATTTGTTCAGAGTATTAGAAAAGAAGTGGATAATTATTTGCATTCAAAAGATGGTCATGTTTTTGATGCGAAAGACAAACGAATTGGAAATATGAAAGATTCAATAAATGAGAAACAAATAATAAAAGATATTTAGAAAAGGATGCAATAACATTAATGACAAAAGAGAAATATAATGCAAATAATAAAGTTATAACAAATGTAGCTGTACCTGTTAATGATATGGATGTTGTTAGTAAAAGATATGTAGATAAAGTTTTATTTCTTTTAACTGATAATAAATTAGATGACAAAGGTAATATAATATTTAAAAAAGTTAAAAGTTATTATTTTACGGAAGATTTAAAACTTAAAATGGATATGACCATGATATTCACTTTTTTATAGAAACACTAAAAGAATCATATATGGATAATAGTTAAAGCAAAAAAAAATTCGGATGAAAGATCCGTAGAATTTTCTATGGAACCATTTGAACTCTACGACATCACCATATTTCTATAATGGTACATGTATTTTAAATGGTAAAAAAGACGAAAAATTATCGGTAATTAATAGACTTAATACAAATTTTAATAATTTTTTTTAAAAAATGGATATTATTTGAATAAATAACATAAAAAATTAAAGATTATACGGAGCCAGAAGAATTACCTGATGCTAATTACCATCCTTTGTTACCTCAACATCCATTCAAATTATTTATAGAAGTACCGTCTGGATGTAGTAAAACAAATTTATTATTAAATCTTATTAATGGCTGTGTAAAACCAAAAGAGTTAAGATTAGATTTTGATGCATTATACATATGCGCAAAACATATAAATGAACCCAAATATTCTAAATTACAAGAGGGCCCACCAGCGGCCGAGCGGTAAAGCCGCTGAACACTGGTAGTTCGGTCCGAGGTTCGAATCGAACGGGCTGGCTGCATGGGCGCTTTCGTGGTTTTCCCCATGTGTAACGTGTATACGAGCCAGTTTCCCTTAGAAAGTCCTCCACGAAGGCATCCCTCCACTTAGGCAGATAGCCCTCGAGGCTCTGCCATAATCACACACACACACTAAATTACAAGAAACATATAATTTTTTGAGGATATTGAAAGAGATGATATCTTTAAAACTAAGAAATTAAAAAAGAATAAAGAAATATTAAATTTTTATGATAAGCATAAAAAATACAAAGTATTATTTTCTTCAGATTTAAGTGAATTTATAACAGTTGATGATTTAGATCCATTGCGTAGAAATCTTGTTGTTTATGACGATTACATAACAGAAAAAAATCAAGCAGATTTTGAAGATATATTTATTAGAGGAAGAAAGAAAAATGTGTCTATTATTTACATATCGCACAACTTTTATTTATCTTTTATCACTATTAGAAAAAATTGTAATTATTTTATATTTTTAGTACACAATCTAAAAAAATTCAGCAAATAATAAAAGATGTTGACGGCTATATCTCAAAAGAAGAATTAAAAAAATATGTATTTCCTGATCGTTTGTTCATGATCGATTTAAAAAATACAAAAATAAGATAGCGAAGAAATTTTCATCTTATAAATTATGGAAGAATATTTAGAGAAAAAAATAATTTTAGAAAAAGTTATAATTTATATTAAAAGATAACATTACTTTAACAGTCAGTAAATGTAAATTGAGTGCATCAAGTTTATCGGCTTTTCTTTTTATACCAATTGCGGCCTTAAGTTTAAGTGAAGGAATTGTTGAAGTCTTTGAGAAAAGTTTACATATTTTGGAAAGAAAAGAAGAATATAAACAATATTTTGTTTTTTATAAGCAGTTATTAAATTTACTGAAAGCTAAATTAATTTAAAAAGAAGAAGTTTATGCACGAGAGCAAGATTTTATAAATACTATATTATATTATAAATATTTTCCTGTTAATACGTAAAAGAAGCACAATTAAATGGATATAAATACATTTCCAAAGAATTTTCATCCTAATAAATGAATGTTAACTGCGGTGACGTTCCTAGAAACAGTTTTAAGTGAAGATTTAATTAGAAATTTCGAAGTTGCAGTAGATTGGCAATTGATATCAAGATATCAGAAATTATCGGAACCTTTCATTAGCGAACATAAAGATAAAGTAGATTGGGAAAATATATCAACTTATCAGAATCTATCTGAAAGTTTTATAATTATGCATGAGAATGAAATTAAATGGGATATTGCATCTAGGTCACAAAAATTATCTGAAAATTTTATTGTAGATAATAAAGATAGTCAATTGGGATTACATATCTGAATATCAGACTTTAAGTAATAATTTTATTTAAAAAAATTTTGAAAATTAAGTATGAAATTAGTTTCTAGATATCAAAAACTATCTGAAAATACTAACGAAGAATTAAAAGATGTAGTAGATTGGAATGAAATTATAAAAAAAAAAAAAAAAAAAAAAAAAAAAAGCAGACACATAATCAAAATTTTTAAATAAACATGAAGATAAAGTTGATTGGTGTAATTCAAATTTACATAAACAGTTATCGTAAAATTTTATTAAAAGACACAGTGAAAGAATTCATCTTAAATTATTAGCACAAATATGTGCAGGTATTAATAGAAATTATGAATGATAATTTTTTATAGTTTTTCTAGGGGGATATTTCCTACTCTGGATTCTCTTTCAATTTTTAATATATTTTTCATTTTTCCAAGGCTGATGATCACTGATAAAAATCATTGTTTTTTGTTAAATTATAATATATTTTGTTTACTTTGAATTGTTCTTAAATTTGATACTTGAAAAAAAAATGTAAAAAATACTTGATTTTTTAACTATTTTTAAACTTTTTTGTTCTTTTTTAAAGTATTTTAAAGTAATGTCTAAAAAAGACATTAAAATTAGTGAAAATTTTATCTACGTTTTTTGAGCGAGTTTTAAAAATTGAGAAAAATACGAAATTCAACAATTCGTACAAAAAATTCACTATTTTTTCACATCAAGGAAAACTGATGTGTATTTGTGAAAATAATATTAATTGTCTTGTGTTGTGATATTAAAAATGGGAAAAATAGTAAAAAGGTAGAGTGTGCCAGAGTATAATACATGTACTGCTTTTGTATTTATCAAATTAAATATCTTGTAAATTAGATAAATGTTTAATAAAAACAATGCAGGGATTATTTTTCTGCCTTAAGAAAAACAACTTAACATTCATATTTAAATATGATATTAAAGATTACATATATTTAAATAATACGTAGTGTGCTTAAAGTGCTCGGCTTGTTAAGCAGTAATAATTTGAAATTAAATTAAAGATCTTATGTCACGTAAAATGGTAACATTTTGGAAGTTTGAATAGGCAAACTAAGTGGAGGTAAAAGTTAAAGATATTACTATGGATAACAGACGACATATTTTTTCTGATTTTTTTAACATTCACCGGGACCTCCGAAAGTTTCAATACTTTGTAAATACTGGTTTTAATAACTTAATTACCAAAAAATTAACTTTTTAAAACATATAATTAGCAACATGCATTAAAAATTTCAAAACATTTTAGCAATTACTTTCTGAGTTATGAGAAATTGAATATAAATAATAATAACTGCATTTAAAGATTCTACTACAAATCTCTTTGATATGGAAATATGGAAACTCAGAAAACCTTTTTAACTCATGTAATAATCACGACATTGGGGATAATATTTACTTGTAAGCAAACAAAATTTTTGCTAAAACTTTAAAATTAATTTTTAGAAGAATTTTGTCAAAATATAGGAATCAGTAGCTTTAATTTATTTTTGAGACACAGAAATGGAAGTTAAGTTGAGACTTATTCCTTTCATAAAGCGAAGTTTTTTCACTTAATATTCACACACACACGCACAAAAAAACAGTGGAAAAAAAGGAAAAGATTTTACTTACGTTTTATTGTCCCTTATATAGGTTACTGTGAAGTAAAGATCGTTGCCTACTACCGTCATAAGGTATGTGTAACATCTCTCTGTGTTTACTTTTTCAAACATGTTAGTATAGCTGGCAAACAAGTACCATCTACCGGAAAGCTGTTGAAAAACGAAAATCATGAGATTTAAACAAAAGGTTCTAGCAGTCTCTGCTTAATGTTGTTCGACTAGTCTGTAGAACAATATTAAGCACAGATGAAAGGCGATGTAATTTTCCTTAAAATGCATCTCACAATTTAACATTCTACTTATATGCGCAATCTAACATTAAAAAATGCATCAATACAGAATTGAAGTGTTCATCAGGCATATGATACTTCATGTAATAAGTAGCCTACGTAAACAGTACTTCGTGGTCAAAATAATCTCTCTTAACGTCCAACGACAGGAGTCTTTGGCGAAAGAAGACAGAAGTTAATGATACAAAAAATCTATCAACTGCAAGCTGGATCTCTCGATCGTCAGCGAATTTTTCTGTGCCTAAAAAGCGCTCGAGATGGCAGGAGAAGTGATAAGCAGCGAAAGATTAGTCATCGAAATATGGCAATTGAAGAAGACTTTGATACCGCAGTTCTTTGAGAGTCTGTACAGATATTCGTATGTAGTGTGAGCTGATATTGTGATGTATCTTCAAAGCACCATGTCTGTTGACCACTGTTGATGCCAGATAATGACTGAAGAATGCCAGAGATTCTCTGGTATCAAGGGAGCCATTGTCTGGCATTAACAGTCTACTCTGTTGATGCCAGACAATGGCTCTGCCACAGGCACTGATAAACTGCTTTATTTCCAGTATGACATCACGCTGCGAGGCCTGTATGGCTGTGAGAGGGAACCAGTAACTCCCTAGTAACCCATTTCTTTTGTGTCTTCTGCAACCGCTGTTTCAGACCTTCAGACTCCCATGAGTGTTGCACACGAACATGTGTGTCGGTTATAATTATAGAATTTTTCTTTTGTTTGTATTATATCAACCTATATTCACACCAAAATGTTTTTTAAATCTGTCCAGTAGTTCTGGGCATCGTAGATCAAATATGAAAATTTTCTTAATTTATTTCACCAGTGTATCTTCAAAGCACCATATCTGTTAACCACTGTTGATGCCAGAAAATGATAGTTTGTTGACTAAACTGTAGATGCCAGAGAATAATCTGAAGGTGTTTTAACGCTGTTTAGCACAATAGTAAATCGCCGGTGATAGTTTCGCCTGAAGGAAGATGCCACAAATCATTCCAGCAGCAAAGCGCTATATTAAACCACCCACATGTTTTGGCAAGTATGGGAGATTATTTTTGCACTGTATTCTGGTTTTTGTTTGCTATCACCTTACTGTGCTCATCTTCTACGATAGTGTTTGCTATTCCCTTTTTCATCCCATGTTTTCATCCGAGGTCCCCTTTATTCTTCAGACTACGCGAAATGCAAAGTTCTCGACAACGAGCTTCATTGATCGGTAGTAACTCATATAGCACAACTTATATAAATTTCCATCGGACTGTGATACAAATTCAAATTAAGGTTCCCAACTGTTAAAATACTCAATAACGCTTGCTGGAGAATGACGCAAAATGTAACAGGCATTCATATGGGAAGCCACCTAACTGTAATGTTCTTCAGCATGTGTTAGCCCAAACTAAATCTTTAGCTACATTAGTGAATGTAATGGACCATTGGTGCCCTCTTGTGTAGGGTATCAGTGCATGCATGCATTTTTGACGTGACGTTTTCTTTTTTTTTTCTTTCCTAACAAGTCGTGTAACACTTCCTCGTCTTGTGATCCAGTAGTCCGTTCTGCTACCCCTCCTGAGAGGGCGATGTAGTAGCAGCAGATAGCTTCTGCAAAGGGGATTTTAATGCTGTCAAGCTAACATCTTAAAAGCCAGGGACAGCAGTCCTCTTCTGCAGCACACAACAGCAACAGCAACAATAAGTGTTCAGGAATATTTTCTCTGATTAAATAAATAAATGCTTCGGCAACCAGCTTAAAATACTTTTTATAACAAAGCAAAGTATGTAAACGATTTTAATGAGTCAACTAGTTCGCACAGATTTGCCACTGCTTACTTGCTAAGTTTTTTTAAATCAAAAATTCATTAAAAATTTACAAATACAAAATAAATAACAAAAAAGATGACCTCATTCTATGAAAATACTGAATATTTTTCATTAGATAGATGATGAATTAAATGCATTTTTACTATTTAAATAAAGCCGATTCAGAAGTAAGAAATGAACATTTTTAAGCTTCTACTGCTTCCAAATAGCTTAGTTTGTTAATTCACAACAAAAAGATTCCATTTGAAAGAGATATACTTTGCCGCCTTGTGGCAACAGACTCGAATGAAAAGTGAAACGACGTATTTATAGTTATATTACGTCGTATCGGTGTAAAAATCCTATTTCGAGACTAACAGCCTTTTTCGGCTAATAAATGAAGAACAATTTTGAAATTAAATTTCTGTCTTTTGATTGCACATGTTCAGGTAGAGAACTACGTGTGTTCAAAACATGGCGGCTTTAGGTTCAGCCATTTTTTTCACAATGTGAGAAAAATGCAAGACATAGAAGAAGACAGTAAAACTTTTAACAGCTTTCGATATCTGTCATGGCTAATGGTTAAGGTTTACAGATGAAGATAACAAAACTGAATGTCGACAAATCACCAATTTTTATTTTCACACATCATCACATTTATATCCAATTAATTTGGCATATACGTATTTTATCATTATTAAATTTCTATGTACTTTGGTTTTTTAAATTACGTAAATTTAAAATTACGTAAAGAAATTACGTAGGCATTTGGGACGAGGAAGCAAGTAAGCGTGGGTTTTGGCATCACGGAAGCTAAGGAAAGAAATCGCCAGCGGTATTAATACTAAGTACATGCAGAAAGCACTCTATGCTATGATTTGTGAATTTTAGGTTATTATATGATCATGGAAAGGTCTCGAATTTGGGAGAACAGGTGAATTTAGGGAGAGAGCATCAAATCTAGAATCGTTAATTTTGAGGTTGCCAGTTATTTTTAAAACAGCTATCATATTTAATTATATTTTACATACATATATACAGATTCTTCATTATTTAACAGTGGAGAAGAACAAAATGATATTTTTTCGAAATTTCTAAGAGAAAGATTCCAAATAATATAATTATATCAGGAATATTAAAATGAATAAAACTGCTGCGCTCCTGTAATATTTTAATATAGAATTCAGCATCAGAAATCGAGTCTTTTAAAATTAAGTTTTTTAAAATTTTATATCTGAATTATCAAAATAAATCTGTTTAAAAAATAACTTATTTTTTATACCTTCAATAGTTCGAAGTCTTCTTTTATGGGAGGCTGGACACTGCACACGTCAATTTCCTTAGCGTCTATAACAAGAAACAGCCCAACAAAGAAAACTACAAATTTAGTCATCGAAGCCATTATATGAATGCAGGGACTGCCACAGTAACAAAATGATGACGGGAAAAATGGTTAAAAATGTTGGTCTAAGAATCGTTTAAATATAATGTTTTAGTCACAAACAGCTGCCTAAGTCTCGTATTATCTCTCCTTTCGAAGTGTTATCGATATTGAAAGGAAACTAGCGTGCTGTTAAAATGTACGATAATTTGTGGAAAAATACTGAAGTATTCAATTTCGCGCTTTGTGTTTTTAGCGGTCCTACAGCATCTGCTTGATATTAGCTAAAATAATAATATATCAACACATTTATTTAAAGGGTTCTGTTTCCAAAATCTTATTATATTTATCGTGATACTGAATGTTTAAAATTTCTTACTAAAAATACCAATTTTTCCTCATAAGGCATACACAACAGTATCATTTGCTGAAGCGACAAAAATTTCAAACACTTAGCATCTTGCAAAAAGATTACTAGGTTTTTGCGAAAACACGAATATATCAACAATTTTTTGAATGACTCATAGTTTTCGTAGTCCCATGACCAGAGTTAAAAAGATAACAGAAACGTGGGGATGAAGTAAGCAGAATAATTATAATGTATAATAGCCACAGCAAAATTCTTATCTTGAAAAGATAAGAATCTATAAAATTCTTATATTAGAAAAGGCGAATGCGGAAAAGTGAATTGATCAATGTTCACAGAGCGTTAAGTTTTGCCAAACTTTTATTTTTCTCATATTCGCTATACTATTTGCATTTGAGATGCAAACTGATGAAAATGTCCGGAAGTTAAGTATTTCTGGATATCAGCATCTGTAAAAACTGTTACTGCGTGAAGTCGTAAAAGAGGTTCCAAATTTTTGGTTAATTTTTTTGCTCTGCTGATATGTTTATTCACAAAGTTTACACGAACTATTAACACAAAAAAATACTGACTCGGTATTTGAAAAGTCTAGAAAATGTAAAATGCTAATTTAATTATTTTTTGTTTTGAAGCTGTGGATGGCAATGGTGTGTAAAGCAATTATTTGTAAAGAGAATCCTAAAATTTCAAAATTTTTATTTTTTAAAGCAGTTAACATGTTATAGTTATGTACTTAAAAGTGTTAATTTTAAGATTCGAGTAATGCAGTCTGTAGGATGTTATAAGCCTTATTATTATGATTTGCATTCTGCCGGGTGTTTTGATGTTATTTTAAGATATTGTGAGAGGAATGTGCTTTAAGGCAGGAGTTGACTGTTTTAGTTATTAATAATGTCAATGTAATCGATCGTAGTTTACAGCGTTAGCAGCAACATAAGCATCTTGGTTAACATGATTCAGAAAGGAGAAGAGAAAAAGTAATGAAAAAGAAAGGAAGGTCGAAGAGAAATTTTTTTTTTCAATGGTTAGGCTAAAAAGTTACAAAGAATTAAAATCTTATGAACAGAGGTTACAAACAATACACCTATGATGAAAAAGACCGAAGTCCTTGCCTCCCAGGACGTTGGGCCCACCAGCGGCCGAGCGGTAAAGTCGCTAAACACTGGTAGTTCGGTCCGAGGTTCGAATCCCGCGAACGGGCCGGCTGCATGGGCGTTTTCGTGGTTTTCCCCATGTGTAACGTGTATGCGAGCCAGTTTCCCTTAGAAAGTCCTCCACAAAGGCATCCCTCCCCTTAGGCAGATAGCCCTTGTGTGCTTTGCCATAATTAAATACACCAATACACACCCAGGACGTTGGACAAGGCACAAGTACATTTATTGGTTATTTGAATTTAAGGGGTGTTGGAAGCCAAAAATTTTCAAAAAACGGTGATTTCGGATTTTTGCATTTTCAATATCTCTATACTTTTATCTTTCTAAAATTACCATTCTTTAATCTCTATAAAATTTAGAACTGTAAAAAAATCTAGTTTTAATTTGTCATCAAATGCTTTGATAAATGAGGTTTTTTACATAAAAACGCGTTTTTCTCCAAACGTGATTTTTCTGTACTCAATGTGTCTTTTCTCAGGAACTGCTGCTCAGAGGTATCTGAAATTTTTATTACTTATTTATTAGGCTTCCGAATATTTACTGAAATGAGCTTTTTTGTGACAAACTAAGAAAAAAAATTTAAAAGCATTTTTTTTGTGTGAGAAAAGGGCTAAATTTTCCTATGCCTAATAAAATAATCTGTAAATTACTCTAAAATTCGAAATGTTTCAAAAACCTCATTCCAATATAATCAAATAGGTATACTTTAATTATATAAAAAATTTCAAGCGTGTATCTACAGCAGATTTTGAGAAAAGGTACATCGAAAATGTCCAATTTATAAATTGTCCGTATAGGGGTTTCTGATACCCCTTGAAGCATTGTTCTATTCGTTACAGAATCGGAGTTTACAGCTCTATTAGATCACGATTTATAGCAATACATAGTGACATTATAGCATAAATTTTAGGAAAAACCTTTTTTGAAGTCGAAACTTTATTTTAAAAATTAGCGTAAAAGTTGATTCTATGTTCTAAATGCATGGCAGTCTGTCCAGGGAAACAATATTTCTGGTGGAGGTTGAGATTTGTAAAAAAAAGAAAAGCTACCACCCACCTGTCAAAGGCAATTCTCTAGGATGTGCAATGAATTTATGAGAGCGGTTAAATTTTTTAGTTTCTGAAACTCCTGGAGATGATCACTATGTACATTGAAACGCTAGAGACACCCATACACCTGCAGATTTTTGGAGGATGTGACCAAATACGTGCGAAAAAAAATTAATGGTAGTTTTTACTGTCGCATTCTGCTTGATAGATAGAATTATGTTGGCAGGTGATCTAGGTCAAAAAGTGTTGAAATCTTTTCTTTTTGTTTCCATGCCTACACATTTCTGTTCGAATTCTCTTCCATACTATCATACTGTTTTTTCGCTGTATTCTTTCCAATGACTTCGCTGTATTCTTTCCAATGACTCTTTAACGGGTGTACTTTATTTCGTGAGGTGTGCTGTAAAGATAATGGTCTTGGTTTTTATCATCTCTTGAAATATATTATATTTAGGGCTTCGGCCGGATCTCGATGATCTATTTCTTCGTACGGATTTTTGTAGGGCTTCCGCAATTCTAGTTTTAGAAATTAAGCCTTGAGTGCTGCATGTCTGAAAACGATTGTATACGCCGAAAGAGGAAATCAATGATTGCCAGTAAGAAATAATTTGAGAAATTTTGCTCTTTATAAATACAAAAATTCATCATACATCAATATCATATACAAGTTCATTAAAACGACAAGCAGGCCAGTCACATTTCTTCCGCAAATTTTCCCAAAAACTGTACTGTAATACACATTAAAAAATTTCACTTATCATTCACTTTGTATTCTACATATGATATCTAATAATTTTGAAATTCTCAGACTAACAGTGTAACTTAAAAAAATGAGGGTACTTTTTTTGTATTTCAGTTTTCATCCAGATATTTTATATTGTTACGAAATGTACAGGCGTGGTATGATAACTTCCCCGCAAAGAATTTTTTGGGTTGCCATAAAATGGAAAGGGAAGGCAGGGTTGCCACATTTGGCGAGAATTCGCCCTTTCAGCGATATATGGCGACAAAATTGGCGATATGCCATGGACGGATGGAGAACCTTCTGGAACGAATTCTTACCGGTTTAGCCCAGAATGTTGTCGAACACAAGCCGAAACTATATAAAGCCTGCTTGTCCGCAGTCAGTCAGTGAGTGTGTGTCTCTCATCGAGTGAGTGTGTCTCCTCTAACGAGTCAATCCCTGCAGAGACGATCGTTGACAGCCGGCCCGCGAATGCTGAAGGGGTCGTCGAGTGCACTGAAAGAGTCTCGTAAAATATCGCGGTTACTGCATCGTCGAGAGAGCGTGTTGAGTTCCGGGAACGACTGAACAAAGGAGTCGGGTGCTGTGCTCGTGTGTCGTCGAGTGCATCGCGAGTCGTAGCGTGGAGAGTCGCGAGAGTACGTGGAGTTCCGAGAAAGACTAGGCAGAGTCGGAAGCTGTACTCCGGAAAGCAAAGTCGGGTGCTTTGCAGGAAGCTGTCTCCACCGTGATAGCCTGATAACCTGAAGGCTGTGTCGCTGATCGTGTCAGCGTGTTTATAGTAGTTCATCGACCACTGTAAAACGTGTTTTGGAGCTGTCCTGACAATATTGTCTAAATAAAGTGTGTTTCGATACTTCATCAAGTGTCGTCGTTATTCACTCCAAATCTACGAACCCCCGTACGAACGTGAAGGAAGAAATAACGTAACAGCTGGTGTCAGAAGAATAAGAAAAAGCCGTAACAATATTATATGAAGTACTCCAGCCTACTACTTTAAAATATAAACGTCAAATTTCTTTTCCGATTTTCAAACTCTGATTCGCATCCACGGGAACAACAACTACATGAAAAAGGTCGAGTCGCTTGATTCTTTTCACCCCGCTTCATTTCTGTTTAGAGTGGTTAGAGCCAGTTTATCGGCGAAATAATAAGCTAAGGCACAGACCATGTTTCGTCAAAACTGTACATAGTTTGGTAAAAATATCTGAAGAAAATCTTGCTAAAAATATCTGTACAGACCGCGATCCGGACGACCCTATATTCCTGCTGAAGTATTTCAGAACTGCAGCAGAGAAATGTCGTTAAAAACATCGTATGGATGAAAGACTGTGCAAGACAGGAGTCTTGTGTTATCACTTGTCCTTTACAATGCTTTTCTTCGCAAATATTTTACGCCAGCAATTTTTGTCATACGTGTATCCTTCCGACATCATTTATGGTTTTCCAATGGGCTGATTAAATTGTGCAGTAAAACGGTAGGTGTTGCTGTACGAAAAGTTCGAAAGTTTTTCACTGTAACCGTAACCGTAAGAATTCTAGTATTCATCTCAACCTTAAGAGTTTACGTTCAAATAACAATATCTGAAATTTTATTTCGGTTAGTTGAATGGAGAGGCAGTTAAGGTTCATATAACTGGAAAATTTTTTACAACCACCTGTATACATAATATACGTGCATGTGTATGCATATTTATATAATGCATATGATCATATATTTTTGTGCTGCCAAAGAAACTATGGCAATCCATATCAACAAAAACATGTATGTCCAAGGTAATGTGAGTGATTGAAGCTGTCAAAA